AATAAGTTTTATAAATAAATTTCAATTAATAAATGTAATATATGCATATAATTTCATCTCCTTTTAATTCGAATTAATTTTTTTCCCTGGATTATTCGAACACTCGGTAAATCGAAAACCTCTATAAATCGAATTTTTAGCTTAGTCCCCTGAATTTCGAATTATCGAGTGACTACTGTAATATTTTGTGCAATTTCAACGATCCGAAAAACGTCAAAACATTAATAGTTGAATAAAAAAAAAAAAAAAAAAAAAATCGTGGATTTAGAAAACTTGAAAATAATATATGCAATTAGTTGACAAATATCACAATTCTAGTTACTAATCGAACTACGATAAGAAATGAGATATAACTATGAAAAATAATTAAATAAATAAATAGATAAATAAAAACCATCATCCACTGTAGTCGAATAAACCAATTAAATAAAATGTTCAAGTAAAATAAAATATTATATTTCGTAATGTGGTGGCCATGTAATGCAGTAGTTAATGCCATTGTACAAATAAATTGAGTTTGCGTTTTATTTATTCTTTTACATTAATAATTTAATGCCCAAGAGTGGTGTAACTTGAGCTATGTAATAAATTGTAAGGAGTTGCAAAAAAAAAAAAAAAAACCACATAAATTGGTGATACTATGTAATAGCGATCGGTGTGTTACTGGGAAGTTTGGCATTATCGTATTTCCTTATAATATTCTGTACGAACACATTTTTACGCGAAAATATACGCACTAAAACAGATTCAAATATCGTTTGGTAAGTATTCCATGCAGTTGTGTTAAGTTCCACGAAAAACGTAAAAAGTTTTGACGCGAGGAACTCCAATTGCTCGTCAATCTCGTCTCAAATAAATTATATCAATCCGAAGATTTTAAATGCTTAAAATATATAGTGCAGTAATTAAATGTAAAGACCCGGTTAGCGGATCACAGCTATGAACAATGATGGTACAAATTATGACCGGAAGAACAGACACACACGAATGTACTACATGATGTTGTTGCAATTTATGGTTATTTCCGCTGAGATGATAATTATGTCAATTTTCAGACGTCATGCATGTGATGATTGACCGTTACAGACGTCGTGTTTCTCATCGTGTCCGACGGTATTGTATTCGAAATATAACCGATTCAACTATAACCAGAGAAGTTTTAGGCTTGCATACCTATACTTCTAGTAACTGTTAATATCAGTATTCAATATATCTTCTTCCTCTTCGATCGGCGAAAGTGTTATGATATTAGTGAATTTCATTGATGTTAAAAATGCAAATAATAAAACAATACGGTACTGGGTTCATATATACTGGAAAGAGAATCAAAAAAATGAAACCTAGGGTTTTTTGTTGTATTCAAAGAATTACACACCCATCCACAGTGATTATAATAATTTTATAGAATAAAACGATCGATCAAAACAATAATTATATACAAAATCTCTACCAAATGGAATCGTAGTTAATATAATAAGCATTGATATTCATAAAATCTCTTCCCAAGTATTATCGATTAGGTTTTTTTTTTTTTTTTTTTTTTGCAGTCGGAAATACTTTGGTTATAAATACACGGATTGGCTTCAATTATACCAAAAAAATGTATATTAAAATCGGTATCATCTTTTATTTTTAAGTAATACTTTTGAAAATTAATAAAATAAATAAAAATACAATAATTTACCAAGGGCTTGTCACTAGGAAAAGCATGTAGCACATGGCATAAAATGGAAAATGTTGAATTTGAATGACACCAACGTAACTTGTCATATAATTGTTATATCAGTTTAGTTGGCGTTAAATATATTTATTATATTGTCTTGATACAAAATAGCGTGCTAAATGCATGCTACTTGTTACATTACTTGCCACGTTAATTTGGTAAGCGCTCGGCATAACAGTTATGTTAATACTCCAAGTCACGGAAACAGGTCCATAACGAGCATGTACAACAACAGCAAAGTTTTACGATTTTTTTATAACAAAATAATAATTTTCATTTTCTCGGCGGCAATTTTCATTGTCAATATCAAATAAGGTACAGAAATAAAATCATACTTTGCCATTAGATATCCGTGCGTAAGTTGCGTAAGTGCGTAAGTCCGATTCTCAATCAATTTAGTATCGTTTCTTCTATTCTTTTTAAGGAAGTATTTATCCATCTTATGGTACTTCTTTTTATTGTGTTAAGTTTGGAAATTTGTTGATTCCATGTGTTGAGCCATTTTTTACTGGTTATATCATTTATATGTTTTTTAAGGTCTCTATAGGATTTTCCTGGTATAGTCGTGGATTGGAAATTTGTAGAGGCGATCTTGGATTGTTTGTCGGCTAGTTCATTTCCTTTAATACCAATGTGACCGGGTACCCACGTGAGAGTGATTTTTTGTTTTTGGATAAGGCCTCATTTAATTTATTCAATATTTTTATTGCAATGTCTCAGGGTTTGAACTGATTTTTAATGCTGTTTAGTGTGTCGAGGAAATCGCTGCATATTATATGGTTAGAGTGTTCATCGTCTATGACTGTTTTTATGGCAAAGGAAGAACCCCCTACATGCGAAGCTTGTAAGCGTCCAACTAACAGTGAAACATATTATAATCGAATGCCTCAAATATAAACAAGATCGACAAACCATCGGAATAGACACGACTCTCGACGTAGCACTAGGACTTAACATCGAAGAGAATGCCGAGATGTTACAATTTATAAAATCAACAGGTCTTTACAACTTAATTTAATAGGAATATGTAAACCAGTTGTATATATTATATTGTAACTATACTTATCTTTATTTTTATAAAAAAAAAAAAAAAATACTTGTTAAAATGTAAATATCTTTAACCCAATTTAACTTTTGATTGTAACTAATGGCCATAGTTGCCGAGTTTTCTTAGATAAATAAAAAAAAAAAATCATACTTACTGGCGTACGCGAACCAAGTAAGTTTACTTTATGGTTATCAATTAATATATGATCGCATTTGATTAGATTCAAATAATCAGTAATTTCCAATTTCTAGGTTAACCTATACATATAAATCTACAGCGTTTCCTTCGATAACCTCAAGTAATAATTTTAAATGGGAAATATTACAAATAAATTTATCAATATCAATATACCAAATAAAAAAACCATACAGAAAAACCAAAATTTATGTTATATTCCAGCTGAACAACTTGTGTCAACTCGAGAATACGTTGTGTCACACTTTTATTAATTGTTTATAATATTTCTTATACAATTGTAATGTTTTTTGCTATATCGAATTTTAGTTTGTAAACTAGTAATATTTTATGGTAAATTATTATACTTTTGTATTCTAATTGTAGTTAGTAATTAACGTATAAATATACCTACCACACTAACATTATGTATACATTAGTATACATTTATAATTTATTATTTTCGCAGTAAGAATTTTTTTTTTTTTTTATAGTTCCAATTTTTCAAAGTTTATATAATTCGTTTTCAAAGAACAAATATCAATTATATTCTCTCAGAGTTCTAAAAATTGTTCAATTAACAGAAACCTTGTTTGTGGTAAAAACCAATTGCTGTAATTTGCTTCTATTTTTTTTTTTTTTGTTTTAAAAGAAACAAATGTATTGAAATCAAATGATTTATGTAGGTAAATAATTCAACTTTGAAAATGTCTATTTTTTCGAACAGTAATGTGGGTGTAACAGTATAAATTTATATATATATATATATATATTATAAAGAAAAGAAAAACGAAAATACTTTAAAATTGGCTATATTGAGTGCAAAAATATAATGTATGGTATGTCTTAACCAATGAAAGATGTACGAGCGACGAAGATGAGTAAAACGAGGTTTAGTATGTGAAACTGAAAAACCCACACGTTTGGGGCATGTGCCACGGTAACGGAAAACCGCAAATCGTTAAGGTGACGGGACTTTAACGGGACCGCATAACACAAGTATAAGAAGATAATAAATGAGAGTTCGGTATTCGCTAGCTCGTTTGACGGAGGGAAACGAAAACGGATTCGGTTCACATTGTCACGTGAAAAGAATTGAGAAATTGTTTTCCCTTTTTTTCCTTCTGTTGTATTCCGGAAACGTGGATATGGGATATCAAGTCAAATCCCTACTGTCACAGTGAAAGTGTTAAGAAGAAACAGAAATCACCGAGAACATGTAACGTATTTTAATCAGCCACCTAATTGTTTATTGTACGAGTAATATTATAGCGATAGTGCGGTATTAATATAATAACAGGTAAGGGCGATCGTGTAATAGTGGTAAGGTCGCATTAATGCTACACAAATATGGTCAATCCCCCGTTTGCGATAATGGACCATAAATAAGTACAAATAAGTACAAATGACAAAACACGTTATCGAAGAATCCCTAAAACGATTGTTCCAAAGGTGGTGTAAAAGAACTGCAAAAACCACCGAGGACGCTGTAAAACAGATAGAAGCTCTAGACCAAAAACGTGTGCACGCGTGCCTGAGCACCACCTGAAATGTTATAAATGGGGCCCTAAAATTGAAGATTAAGAGTAAGGAGATTTTACTTTAACTGATGTTTTCCAAATTAAATGTAATTTATTCTAAAATGTTGGGTAAAAAATAAAAAAATATTTCAAAATGATGGCTAAACTTATTATGATAATTAACAGCTACAATAAACTATACACCCACACACAAATAACTACAATAACACCACAAATAACTGAAACCATAAAAAACAAAATATTCAAAATTCAAAGAAAACATACCACAAGATTCAACAAAAAATAAATTAAAGTTACGTTTACTCAATTATTTATACGCTATAATTTTTTTAAATATACCAATACGTTTTGTAGGAAATTGGGCCTAAAAGTATTCTAGACAACCCCCGGAATATTCGGCCAGGACGTTCGTAGACTAACCGTCACTGCTGTCCCTGTGTGCCCACCATCAGCTCAATCGATTAATATTTGTATTGGTTTTGAATTCTCTAAAACGTTATAAATGCAGCCTTACCTTTGGACGGCCAGGGCGAGCGTGAGCCAGATGGATGCGGTGTGGAACATGGTGGGTATCACCTCGTTCATGGCGTACCACGCGTAACACGACTCGACCGGGGACAGCGGCTTGTAGTGGTTGCCTAGCGTGTACATGTAGAACAGCCACGGGGCCGGGAACAGCAGCGTGAACATGTCGGACAGCGCCATGGACATAAGCACCACGTTAGTGGGCGTGCGCATGTGCCGCTTGGACAGCACGACGACGATTAGTGTGTTGGCCACGATGGTGACCAGCAGCAGAAACGGCATCACATAGCCGTACATGGGCCGGGCGTACTCGACTGGCAGCTCGTCCGTCACGTTCAGGTAGCCCTCCGCACCGGTACCATTGTTGCTCAGCGCGCCGCCATCGTCCGCCGCGGACCCGTTGTAGCCAAACACGTACGCTGTCGGCACCACCACCACCCCGGCGGCGGCTGTGCTGGTGTAGTTGTCCAGGTCCATTGGAGTCTTCGCCCGCGCGCCCGCCTCCCTCCGCCCGCCGTGAAAAGACAACACCCGTGCGTGCACCGACTACGACGCGGTGGTGCCGCTCGTCGTCATGTCCGCCACTGGTGCCGGTTTGCGGGCGTGCGGTTGTTGGTCTGGGTTAGGGATGGAACGCACGTGGTAGATTCGCGTGACAGCGTCGACTTGTGCTACTAACTGACCCGCCGACGGTACTGCGACGTGCGGACCGGCGACTCGGGTGGCCTCGGGGGCGGGGTTTGGCCGGCTCCGCGTGTTCGCGCGGTCAAAACCGCTCGGCGAGATCTGGAAACAAAACGAAACCATGAACACCGTGTAACCAGGAGGGGGGGGGCAGAGGAGTACACCTCGGGCGCGATTCCAGGGAAGCAGCAAAAAATGAAAAAATTCCAATTTAATCGTTACTCATAACTTATTTCTTATAAATTATAAGTAAAATGAATATTATATACATATTTATATATTTACTAGTATGAATCTACTTATGATTATTATGTATTAGAGCTCTGCGCGGTCCGGTCTAGACCGGTCCGGACCGGACCGGACCAGACCGGACCGTAGTCCGGTCTTTTTCGGTCTTTGCGTATTGTAATTTTTTGTAGTTCGGTCCGGTTCCGGTCCCTTCTCTAAAAAAAAAATTGGTCCGGTTTGGTCCGTCTTCAATTCAAATTTGGTCTCGTTCGGTCCGGTCCCGTGATCTTAACTTTATATAATTTTATATATTTATATGACGTAGTAAAATAAAAAATAATTTCATAATATTATATTATTTTAATTTAGATTATAATGTTTTAGGATACAAAAATAGCTCATCACATTTTTATAATAATTATTATAGTCTTGTTGTTGACATAATATTCACCCATTATACAGTTCTACAAATATAACGCAGGGACACGAGATAATGAATTTATCTGCATTGTGTTTTCAGTATTATTTACAAATGTATACAAATAAGAAAAAAAACCAAGCAATTATCACAATAATGATTAATAATATATATACATTTAATTACACCAATTCCATGGAAATGATAACGACGAAATAATATGAGATAACTATGTCTATATTTCTAAAAATTTTAAATTATACTAATAATATATTATTATTAATTATTAGGTACGTGTTATAAAAGTAGTAATGAATAATAGTCAGTGGCGCAACCGGTGGAGTTTCAATTTTATTTTATCGGGCTGCTCCGGTCCGGTCCTGGTTTTTGTTAAAATGTATCAATCCGGTCCGGTCCGGTCCTGGTCTTTGTTAAAATGTATCGGTCCAGTCCGGTCTAAAAAAAAACGGACCGTGCAGAGCTCTATTATGTATATTTATATTTTAATAAGTCATTAATTTAGATAAAATAAACAAATGCTAACATGCAAATCTAGATTAAGGGGGTCTAGCCGGGGCGGTAGCCCCAGGGCTTTCTCCAGTATTCAAGCGAAAAGGGCTCGAACAATTTTAAGCCAATATACATTTTTATCATACTAAAATTAGTAGTTTTATAGACATAAATTGAATTAATGCAATTGACAATTTGTAAAATAGTTAAAAAAAAAATATATCGTTTTGTGAGCGTAGCGATCGACTTTGTAAACCACGTTTTATCAAAAGGACCCATATAAAATTTTAGCCCCATCGGTGCTAAATCCAGCTTTGCTTACATGATTACAAAGAAAAATTATTATTTATATTTTGTTAATAAACAATATTCAGTTTTTTGTCTGTTATTTTTATAAATTAAAATACTTAAGGCCGCATTTTTAAGTTTCGTCCCGAGCGTAATATTTGGCTGCTATGACCCGGGGTGTAATGCAAGATCATTTTCGTGCACCGTAACAATAGTAATTATTAATTACAATGATCGTTATGAGTACCGGTTAACATTGTTTTCGCGTTCGACGTCCGATCGTTTCGAGTCGGCCTCTCCGAGATCGGCTCACGACTCAACGATACAAGAGCCCGTGTACGAAAAAAAAATAAAAATATTTTAAATGATCCTTCTCCCCCCACCTCTCCATTGGTACGATGTTAAAATGACTGATGACCAGTTGCGTTTCCAAATTACGGACATGAGTCATAACATGGTCGTAGAAAACGATTAAGAATCGCGTATTTGTGCCGACAAAAAGGAAAATTCATTAATTTAATACACACCATTATTTTTTTTTTTTTTAACAAAACATAGAATTTTGTGATCAAAAGTTGTACGCATTTGATTTAAAAAGATTTTTCATTAGATCTCAAATGTTGTAATCGCTCGATGGTAAAGTCTCACGTCATATTGACGGTTAGTAGAATCGTTATTGAATACGTTCGAAAAACTTTTAACCCGATCACGGTATAGTAATAACGATAATTGTAATTCAGTCCGTCGCTAGGGCACATGCAAATAAAGCGTTGCTTTAGGGTGACACACAAAATTAGATGAATATCTACAACAGGCGACATAATATTAATCCACTAGCTCGCTGCGACTGCGAATGATAACGGCATAATTATAATTCCTATTTGTAATATTTACAATAAAGAGCGACAGTACAGTTTTCGCTTTAGGGCGGAAAATATCTAACGCGGACCAAATAATAATAATATGTATTCGTGATATTGATATCGGCAAACATTTAGTTTATTCCGTTCAAAAACACGTCACATGATATTATCGTAACGCTAATAGACTCGTTTGTGTGAATTTCCATCTTCATTGCATCACTGGCGTATTAAGGATAGGGTGAGCAAAATCTGTAAATTCAGTTTTGTCATATTAACGTCAAAACCTATACTATTCTAAAAAACATAAAATATTTTATACAATATGAAACTCTAACAACTGTATCAACTTTAAAGTATAATAATTGTTTAACAAAAAAAAAAACCCGACTTCGGTAAAATACATATAAAAAAAAAATAAATGAAAAAATTTGGAATAGATAAAACTACCTACATATAATAAATTAAATAGAAAAAAATTAATTCATGATTATTCTAAGTATTAATAAATTAACATTAAATTTTGTTGTAGTCGGGTGCCTTCATTAGTTGAACAACAATGATGTGTTATATTTTAAATTACCCAACTAACATTACGTTGTATTCTATTAAAATTATGGGTATTAGGTATTCGTTGATTTGAGAAATTGTTATAAGTTATAAAATGTGGTTTTGTATAATTGGTCGGCCATATTATTTTCTTTTATTTCTGCATTATGGTGACGACGTTTTATTAATAAGTATGGTGATTGAGGTTTTTCTTTGATAGCCCATGTTTAAGTTTGGTAAGGTCGTTTCTTACTTTAATTATTAGTTATCATTTGTTACTATATATATCAGGGGTAAGCAATTGGCGGCCCGCGGGCCACATCCGGCCCGTTAGCCTTTTTTATCTGGCCCGTAATATATTTTAAAATTACATCATACAATTTTAAAGTTTATCGTCTATACTCTAACTTATCAATATAATAACTGTTATTTAGTATTAAACATCGTTAAATGTCTAAATATCATATGAATGTATAAGTATGGCTTTCAACCATAGCTGTTACCAAACTATTTAATTACATCAGTTTCTTCGTACCATTCGGATTATGCTATCATGTGTGTTGAATTTATTATTACCACATATATAAATGCTAATTAAAATTCATATTTTGAAGGACTTTTTTTTCTTTTTTTTTTATACTCTGGGCCGCTAGATTTAAATTTTCTAAAAATTGGCCCTCTAATAATTTCGAGTTGCCTATCCCTGATATATATTATATATACGTTTTAATCGTAGTATTATTATAATGGTTCAACTAATGAAGGTACCCGACTACAACAAAATTTAATGTTAATTTATTAATACTTAGAATAATCATGAATTATTTTTTTCTGTTTCGTTTATTATATGTAGGTAGTTTTATCTATTCCAAATTTTTTCATTTAATATTTTTTTTATATGTATTTTACCGAAATCTGTTTTTTTTTGTTAAATAATTATTTTTATTTTATTTATTTTTGTTATTTTTTTTTTGTAGACCCCTTAAATGAGCTAATTCATTTAATGAATTTTCATTGTGAGGATGTTTCAATAACTTACAAGGGTTTAAGTTACTTATAGCTAAACTATCTAAGGATCTTAACTCGTATACGGTATATATAAATGAACAGGGTTTCCCTAATGGTTTTTATTTGTCGCTGTATCATAGCACCGGTGACCACGATCGTTATCTATTGATAACGGGTACGGCCGCGGTAGTCATATAAAAAATAATTCTACCTCCCACAACTATAAAACCTAGCTAAGAACACTCTCGTAAGCTCACAGATTATTTTATTTTTTGTTTCGTTAAAATCGGTTCATTAGTTTGCGCGCTAGGTGGAAACATACATACATACATACATACATTACACCTAAACACATTACTCTCCTTCTTTCGCAGTCGGGTAATAAAAATAATCTATGAGCACTGAACGTGATATTGATGTTAGAAATAGTTTTTATCAAATTACACCGTATATTTGGTGGAAACACATGATAAGCGAGCAGTCATAATAATAGAATTTAATTTATAATCTCAGAAAAAAAGAAGCCTTGTAAATACACCACTGCGTCCGGCGTCAACGAGCAAAACGTTTGACCGCGTTTAATCATAAATCCATTTCATTAGACGTGCAAACGACGAAATTATTTATTTTTTCAGAATTTTTTTCGTAAAATAGCCCTGAAACCGTAATATAACGTCCACCATATAACCGTCAACAGATGAAGCGGTGTGTCAACCTACTATTATGTTTTTACGTGTAACGCGCGCATCAATAAAAAAAATTCTCCGTCGTGACTGAAACAAGAGTAAAACTGCCAAAAACGCCTTCAGTGGATTTCGCTTTACCGAGCCGTTTAGGTGGTCAACCTGAAACGTGCGGTGTAAATAATATCTATATTGAGCGCATCGATAGAAATATTATAATGCGATGCGAACAGAAATGGAATCGCTCGGGGAAGATTTAGGTTGCTACTGAATTTCGGGATACGTCGACAAGGCACATCACGTTGAAGTAAAAATGTTTACAGTCGATAGATGGGGACCAGAAGATTAATAATATGTGCTACGACCCGACACCGCCGCCATCGCTACAACGCATCTTCCTCTTCAGTAGTACATAGTACTTGTTTTTTAAAAGACTTTAGCAGACGCGTCTCATGAAAAAAGTATGAAAATCAATCTACTGACTCCTGGGTCAGGAAAAAAATTAAATTTAAAAGAATCGAGAAAGAAAAAAAAATCAACTAATTATAAAAAAACCAT